CCAGGCAGGCGCTTTGCCACTGAGCTAAATCCCCAGCCCTGTCTTTCTTTCTTTCTTTCCTTTTTTTTTTTTGTCTTTTTGAGACAAGGTTTCACTATGCAGTTCAGGCTGGCCTGGAACTCACTTAGTAGCCCAGGCTGGTCTGCAACTTGCAAGGATCCTCCTGCCTCAGCCTCCCGAGTGCTGGGATTACAGGCATGTGCCACCATGCCCAGCACAAACAATGACTTCTAAGGAAAACAGAGGTTAAGGGTAGGAAAAATTTATTGAGAAATAGCTCCTAATGTTATAGGCAGCCGAGTTAGATAGAAATATTATAGGCAGTCAGACAGGGCCAGGCCCTTGAAGGAGCCAACATGGAAGATACGTATTTGTTGTGGGCCAGACCTCAAGACAAAGGACTAAACAAATGCACCCACATACCTCCCTAGGGATGGACCTCAGGGATTGATATTCTAAATAGGTAGCGATAACCTTGAAGAGTCCCTGACCCAACCCCTTACAGGAAAAACCTCTGTTCTGTATTCATGCCCGCTTGGTACGTGACTCGCTTCCCCATTTGATCCTGGTTTAATCAATTTTACCTCAACAATTCTTATTGGCTGACCATAGTTTTATCCATTTTTTTTCCCCTACCTTGGACCCGCCTCACCTCGTGGTTTTGTTCTATAAAAGTCCCTAGAAAAGACACAGTTAGGGGCAACCCACTCTGGCCACCCTTTTGTCCCTCTCTTGGACAGAAGCTTTCTTTTCTTTCCCTCAATAAATATATTCTGCTCCTAACCTCTATTGTTCCTAAAATTCATTCTTCGATTTTAGAGAACACGAACTCGTCCCAGGTATCATTCAGGTTAGGAGTTTTTATTTTTCTGTATCACTAAGAGACAGGAAGGGGTCCCTAAAATGGGATGCCACAGAGGTCATTTCTCCAGGAATATTTTATAGGCCAAAATCATGGCATGAGAACAATGTGGGTCCAACTAAAATCAATCAGTACGATTACAAGTATAGTTGCTTAGCTGATATGGAAGCGGGGCATGGGGCACATAGCAGGGGTATATGGCTGATGTCGTTAACCTTGGGTTGTCTGTGGCTTCTGAAACAGGAACATTTTGGAGAAGAGATGGGTCTAGGTGTCCTGGTAACCCATGGGGTATCTGATGCATATCTGGACTTAATGGCTGGGGTGGTATCAGTGACAGTGTAATCTAAATTTCCATTGATCCCTTGGGGAAGTATGCGGGTCCGGCCATCATGACTTTATCTGGAGGTCTTGCCTTCTTCCGGACGTGCCTCCAGCCACCCTTTTGATGTGCTCTCATCTTCTGCACTCACTTCCCCATCTGACTGTCCATTAATTTCTACCTAACTTAGCTGACTGTAACAGTATCACAGAAAAAGAACTTTCAGGATGGGTCAGTAAGAGGTATTTACAAAGTACACACTTAAAGAAATAGAGTGTGGGTCCTCAAAAGGTGAGAGGCACGTTATGGACTGGAGCCGGTATGGTTTTGTGTAGTGGAAATTTATGGAATTTGTGAATTTACGAAAGTTTGGGTTGACCCGCCCATAAGTAGAAAGATAATAGCTCATTTTACACGTGGAAGGAAGGCCCATCTTACAGGAGAAAGGCAAGGCCCAGTTTATTTTACTTTTTTAAAGATAGGTGGTACTGGGGCTGGAGATTTAGCTCAGTGGTGCAGGATCTCCCTGGCAAGCATGAGGTCCTGAGTTGATTCCCGATACCCTCCCTGCCCAAAAAATAGGTGTTATTTTGCCTTGAAACATTTTTTGAAACTTTTGAATTTGTTTCTCTTAAGGTCAGGTTTCTGCACCCCCCCCCCCTTTTTTTTTTTTTTTTTTTTTTTGGTACTGGGTATTGAACTCACAACCTCAGGCTTGCCAGGCAAGCACTTATGCTGCTGAGCTATGTCCCCGCCCCTCAAATGTCAGAGTAATATTTTTGGGACAGGATGCCCTGAACACTGCAAAAGTGAAGTGGTGTTTTTATTTCTATTGTGCCCCGAGTCACCAACTCTATTCACCTCCCCCCCCAGACAGCATCCTGAAGGCACCCGGATCCATGAGAGAACTGGGGTGGATGATTCCGCCAGAGGCAAACACCACGTGTCAATCAATCGATGAAACCCACAGTTGTTCACAGCATGGCAGGCAGAGGTCATCTTAAGGGTATTTTGGGATCTTCTTTCAGGGTCGGGTTGCCTTGCCTAGCGGCCCTCCGTTAAACGCAAGCAAGGATGAGAAGAGGGACAAACAAAGGCACAAGAAGAAATCTGAAAAACAGAACAAACCTCTAATATCTCACTGTAAATGACTATCGACCAATTTCCTCCCCATGTGGAAGGGGTCGGCACCGAGCGGTGGGCGTGAGGTGGGTGGGCAAACACAAGCCAGGGAGCCATGCTGAGGAGGAGCAGAAGATGGGGTTTAAGGACCTGGATGACCCTCAGCCAGCTCTGCCCCTCAGCATTCAGCCTCTCCCCACTTGGACCTGTCTCCCTGAACTGTACCATGTGAGAGCCGGGGGGAACGTGGTGGAAAGGACGCAGTTTCTGAGTCAGGGTCCTGGCAGTAGCCTTCCTGTTCCCATTACTCATGCACTGTGTGGCACTCCAAGGGCGCTTCACACTTGGAGACCTCAATCTTCTCACTGC